GGATATTTTTTGACGAAACTTTTTTCAGGCATGGATGTCCGTACTGCCCTGGGTGCTTGTTTTCTCAGCCTCCTCTGCTCCAAGGATCTGCTCTCCACCTCAGTGACCACTCCTACAACCAAACCTTGGATCTGGTCACTGCTGAGAATGACTACCTCCACAACTCCTTGTTTCCATTGGATAGTCTACCTCTCTGATTCTGCCACTTCTCCTGTCTCCTAACTTTCACCGAGTCTATTCTTTTTTATTTTCTTCTGCTTTCCCCCATAAAAGTCTTTTAAAAAAATACACATTTTATTGATTTTTTTACAGAGAGGAAGGGAGAGGGAGAGAGTTAGAAACATCAATGAGAGAGAAACATCGACCAACTGCCTCTTGCACACCCCCAAACCCCACTGGGGATGTGCCTGAAACCAAGGCACATGCCCCTGAGCGGAATCGAACCTGAGACCCCCCCAGTCCGCAGGCTGACGTTCCATCCACTGAGCCCATAAAAGTCTTAATGCAAACATTCTGCTCCTCAATATTTCTACTGGGACTGACTTTTTAGTTTGGGTCATCAGTGTCTTTTTTTCATGGGAAATTGCTTTAACCTTCCAGATGGTCTCTTTGCTGCTCTTCAAATTACCCTTTTCATGTCCCAAACTGACTGTGGCATTCCTAAACTTAAAAGTGTGGTCTGGTTTCCCTTTGTCCAAACTCACAAGACCCTTCTCAGCAGTACTCAATCACCAATCAGCTTTCCCCCTCTTTTAAGCATAGTCCCTCCAATCAAACTCTTCATTCCTCATCTCTCTCTATGCTTCCAAATAAAGACATGTCACAGCTTCCTGTCCTGCCATGACCCTATTCTGGGGGGTCTGCTCATCCACAGGAACTGAGGCATCCCTGTGTGCATCTCACACCCCGGCATGGCCTACCAGCCGTGAGAAGGCCTCTGATTCCAGGGCAGAGCACAGGGACTGGCCAGCCAGCTGTGACCAGTGCGGCCAGATTCCTCTCCCATGAAGTTAAGGAACTCCTCCAAGGATGCTGTGGGAACTACACTTGAAACGTCTTGCAAGTTGAAGCAGAATAAACTAGTTCACAGAAGGAGAACCAAACAGGGACCATCAAGCAGTCCCTGAGAGAAAGGAAGACAAAATATTTGGTTCATTCCAGTGGCTTGTTCTTGGTTTCCCAGAAGCCTTGGATCCTTTTGAGATCCTGGCACCTTTACACCCAGTGCCTGTCCGAGTGACCTTCAGAGCCCAGACTAGAACTTTGCCGCCCACCGCCACCCACCGCGATTCTGTACCTTTGCACCTACTCTGTGCTTTCCTGGAAATGTCCTGGATCCTTTTCACATGTGGCAACTATTTACTTACTCTTCAGCAAAACAAATGCCCTATTGTGAGTCCCCAGTCCCTCAGGTCAATTCCTCCTCTGCATCCCTTTCCACTTTGCTCATTCCTTATTATCATAACACCCACTGCCCTGTTTTGAAATTGCGTGTGTTTCAGTATCTGTCTCTGGACTCTTAGCCTCTTGGGAACAGTATCCAATCCTGACCATATTTTTGTCTCCCCCGATCTGTGGGGTGATTGTAAGGTTCTGCGAGTTCCCTACCCTCACGGCCAACCCTGGAGGCCACTCACCTGGCACAGTTCTCATTTACTTCACCTGACTTTCCGTGTCTCCCTGCCCGACGGAGCTCCGGGCAGTGCAGAGTGCCAGGAGGTTAGTGTCCCAGGGAGGGTCCTCCATCAGTGATGGGTGGGCTAGTAGATGAATGTCTGTGCTTCCTGCCCCTCATTGGGTCCCTCAGAAGGACTTTTGTGAAATTGAAGCCGTTACCTATTATGGCTTTCTTTTTCTTCCTTGTCTCATTTCCTCACTCCTTCACCGTGCCTTTTAGAATCACCTCCTAAGTAAATGACTTGCATCCAAATAAATACAAACCTCAGTGACTGCTTTGGGTGAACCTAAACCAAGACAGGGAGGTGAAGCGCATAGTGCTTGACAGACAGAGAATGAACAACTGAGTCCTCCAGCTCCTTGCCCCTCTTCCCATTGGCATAGGATGTAGAAAGACACCTCCACCCTCTCCACCCAGTTCAGTCTTTTCTCCAGAGAGGACCCATGGTCAAGCCCTTGGACCTGATGGGCATCAGCACTTCACTTTCCTTGGTCACTGGCCACTCAGAAGAGCCTACCTTGGCCATTCCCAACAACTGGTACAGCCATGGGCTCCCAGCACTCTGGCCCCTGGGAAGCTGACTGTTACAGAGGACACTCTCCAGTTGGTCCGAAGGTTGTGGGTTATTGTTAAGCTGATTAACAGAGGACACTCTCCTATGTTGATTGGGGCCATGTCACATGTATAATTTTCATATATAATATAGCATCAAAACCCGTTTTCTGGCCCCCCCATTCATTTCCTTTAGCAACCTCCACAGAGACCATGTCCACTTTTCCCCAGCATGCCCAACTTCCTTCTTCACTCTTTCTACTGTTCTCCAAGGATATGGGCTACTTGAGTAAGGAGCATCCACTTTCAGTGCTTGTTAGAAGAAAAGGTTCTGATCCCAGAACCACAATATAGCCCCTCAAAATAATCAACTAGAGGCCAGAAGACAGACTGCAGAGATGCCACATATGGTGCTGTGCTCGGGGCAAGAAATAATTGTTACCGGCATCCAACCTGTCAAAATGGTCTGGACTGGCCAGAGGAAGAAGGCCCTGTGATGAAATTGAAACAAAGAACAACTCCTAAGTATTATTATTATTAAGTAAATATATATATAAAAATATATGAGTAAACTGAGAGGTTAAGTAATTTGCCCAAGGTCCCACAGCCAGTAAACAGTAGAGCCAGGATTTGAACCCAGGCAATCTGATTCCTAGAGCCCATGAATTTAACAACTACATGTCAGTGCATCTACTTATTTTTAGTGTGAAATTATTGACAAATGATTGAAAACTCAGCACAATACCATCAATTATCTGCCCCCCCCCCCTTCCCTTGTAAAGCGGGGATGCTTATAACACACATCAGGGCAATCAATAATACATATCAAACAATTCAGATAAAATACTACACACATAATCTGCCTTGCATTATTACATACCATGTATTAGTGGATATGGAACTGAAATAGGTGCATATTTTTTTTCTTAATTTATCTGTGGATGCCAATCATGGCTAAAACCAAGTCAGTGTGGTGCATTGAACACAATGGTAAACTGAGACACCCCAAAACACAGTTATACCTCAGCTTCCATGCCTGAAAAATGAATGGCTTGAGTAGACAATGTGTCAGGTCCCTTCCAATGCTAAGATTTTTTTTCCCATCTGTATACAGGCAGGAAAAACTTCATTTCATACTTGAAATTTCACTGATGTGGGGATTGGAGTCCAGGAGGGAAGCCTTTCTGAGGACTGGGACACTTCATGCCACATAAGCTCTGTGCTCCTTACAATGCCAGAGGCAGCGCTTTCAAATCTGAAGAATTTCTGTGCCAACTGTGTCATCTGCTAACGGTCACCGGGAGCATATCGGAAGCAGCAGGTGGTCTGGCTTCCGAGCGTACTCGAGTACTGAAGAGAAGGCACAGCTTAGAAACCTCCCGGGCCAGGATTTGGGTCGGCTACATATAGAAAGGATTAGCCCATCAGTGTTAAACCCTGCTCAGAGGCTCACAGCGCATTCTCTCCCTGGGGCTCGGTTCCAGCTCCTGTCCCGGCTGCTGCTGCCCGGGTCTGGATCCCTGGTGCTCAGGCCAAGCCCACACTTTAAAACGGAGTAAGCACCGCACAGTAAACGCTTAGTGGCCGCGGCGCACACCGCAGGTCAGGTGTGCATCCACAGAAGCATTTTACTGAGCTGGCCAAGGAGGGCAGAGGCCTCTGACCTTTGGCCACTTTGGAAATAAGAACTGCTCAACCTGTTCCTGACAAAGCCTCCCGGGAGAGCTAGAGAATACAGTTCAGAAAAGACAGGTCAAAAATGTATGCACACTATGTAGAGAGGGAGAACAACGAACGTAGACATGGGTGACACCTTGTTTTACCTCCTCTGCGAACTTATCCTCGAAGGGAGAGGGGATGGAGGTCGCCCCAGGCTCCTCCTGGTTGGGTGAACTTCCCCCCGTGTCCCTTCACACGGAGCCTCCACTTTTGGATGCTGTAACGGGCGGCCCTGCAGGTCAGCCTTGCACGTCTCTTTACACATCCCTTTACCAATCTTACACATAGTCGGTGCTCAACAAATGTTTGCTGAACTGGTCCGTGTGTGCACACATGTGTTGCAGGTGCAGTGGGAGGTGGGAGGCGGGTTACCTTGAAGGAACTCTGGAACCCTGGGGTGCCCCGTGGCTCACCAAGGATCTCACTTAATCCTCAGCCGTCCGGTGCCTATCGCAAACCCCTTTGTCCTTAAGGAGCGAAAATGAGGAGCAAACAAACAAACAAACAAACAAAAAAACGGCAACTTGCTGCAGTTCCCACAGCTGATGGGGCCTCAGGGCGCCTCTCCCCCATCTGGTCTGAGGCGGTAGCAGAGAAGAGGAAGCTTCCTCTCCCTCCCGGTCGCTCCACAAGTGGCGGCGCACACCCGGAGCACTTGCTTCGGGAGGGGACAAAAGTGGAACATCTTTATTCCATCATTTACCCGAGAGATGCTGCTCCCAAATAAACAATTCTCGGTAGTGTACGTTTTGCACCGCCTCCTAACCTCCTTTGCTCGGCCGGAGCTGAGCAGAATTGCCTGCGAGCCCAGGCCCCGCCCCTCCCTGCGCCCCGGGCTGCAGTCTGAGGATGCGGCGCCGCCGAGGAAGGGGGTGCAGGACTCGGAGGAAGGGGTCGGGGGCTTGCTCGGACGGCACATATGCAGCCTAACCAGGTGAACTCGGCCTCCCTGGCTGCCCTCGCTCGCCGCCCAGGCTCGCCCTTTCTCCACTCCCTTGACTACCCCAGCCACGACGTGCCCATCTGGTCCCGCCACCCGGGGTACACTCACCCTGCCACTCAGGAACCGGCTCGGGAGAAGGAGCCGCCGGCGCTCCCAGCAGCAGCAGCAGCAGCAACAGCAGCAGCGACCACGGCAGCAGCATCGCTAACCACTAGGCTCGCCGGGCGCCCAGTGCCTCTGCCGCAGCGGGGCCAGCGCCTGGGCCCCAGCGCCTGGCCCTGGGGCGCGGGAGGCGAAAACTCAGAACCTTGGCGCTCCACCCCTCCCGAGGGTCTCACTCAGGCACCCCGTTACCACTGTGCTAGCACACCCGGGGCTCCGGGCTAGGAGACTGGAAAGCCGCGGAGGTTTTCACCGCCCTACCCACTCCGGCTCCGAAAAGGAGGAGGGAGGAGGAGGAGGAGGAGGAAGGGGTGGACCATCTGCCCGTCCCAGAAATTCCTGCCTGGGGGTTGGGGGGAAGCGTGGGGAGCGGAGGGGGGTGGGGGGAAGGCTGCCCCCTGCACGCTCCTCCTGCTTCCAGCGGGGTGGGGGCGTGTAAATTAATTGAGAACCTCTGGGACAGGAAGTCCGACATCTGGATTTGCAAACCACCCGGATCCTGGTAAACACTGCGGGTTTGGCTGCAGGCAGCTTGGGGTAAACCAAACTGCTCCGTGAACTCGGGGTCCTTAGGGGCGCTCTGGGGACCCTCCTCCCCGGAACGTGGACACCTGGAGGTCTCTGAGGTACTCCATGCAGTGCACGGAGTCTGCATGCTCCTCCCTGCAGAGTACCCCAAGGTTCTTCCATTCTGGAGCTCCTTTCTGTTTTAAAAACAACTTCCCCTTCCAACTCCTTGCATTTCCCATTCCAGCAAAACAGCTGAGTTATCTATCCCTCCAGTGGGCGTTGCCCCATTATCTCATTTTATAGCTGAGAAAATTCATCCAGAAAGGCAAAGTTCTATGTTACTCCTTAATCTAGCAAAAGTTACTCCTTAAACTGATTCATAACCCTGACTAGATTGTAGTCCTAACTGCTTTCAAATCACCAGCAGAACACAAGAAACATTTGATATTCATGAGACCTTGCTGAACAGGATCTTGACATTAGTGATTAAAATATGAGAAGAAAGCAAACAAAGGAAGCTTGCAGATAAAAAGGTGCCATCTTGGAGCACCTTACCTTTCTCAGCTGATATTTTTTAGCAACATTGTCTTAGATTTAATTCTGCACCCCTCCCTCCACTCATATGTTGAAGCCCTAATCCCCCAGTGTGATTGTATTTGCAAATCAGGCTTTTAGGACTTAATTAAGGTTAAATGAGGTTGCAAGGGTGGGGTGCTAGATAGGACTGGTGGCCTTATAAAACGAGAGAGAGAGAGAGAGAGAGAGAGAGAGAGAGAGAGAGAGAGAGAGAGCAATCTGTCCACCTGCAGGCACCAAGGAAAGGCCACATGAGGACAAAATGAGAAGGTGGCCATCTGCACCCAGAAATAGGACCCTTGTCAAAAATCTTGATCTTGGACTTTCCAGCCATCAAAACCGGGAGAAATAAATTTCCATGGTTTAAACCACGCGGTCTAGGCGTGGCTCAGTGGTTGAGCATTGACCTAGGAACCAGGGGTCCTCAAACTTTTTAAAGTGGGGGCCAGATCACGGTCCCTCAGAGAGCTGGAGGGCTGGACTATATGAACTACTAATTCCTACTGTAACACCTCGGCTGCTCTCACTGCCCAAAAAACCTGGCGGGCCGGATCAGACTCCTCTGCGGGCCGCATGTGGCCCGCGGGCCGTAGTTTGAAGACCCCTGATCCCAGGAGGTCACTATTTGATTCCCATCAGGGCACATGCCTGGTTTGCAGCTCCATCCCCAGTGTAGGGCATGCGGGAGGCAGCCAATCAATTATTCTTTCTCATCAATGATGTACTGTATTTATCAATCTATCTATCTATCTCTCTTCCTGACATCAATAAAAATATATTATAAAAAATAAGATTTCTGCTTCCAAAAAGGTGGAATAACTGTAACAACAAACAAAATACATGAAGCAATGGTTTTCAAGACACTGGACATCAGGCATTAAAGGATCGTGATCCCTGAGAGACAGGAAACATGGTGGGAGCAGCAACAGGTGCCTGGCAGGCCCCGAGGAGAAGTGCTACAGAGGGAACTGAGGGAAGTGTGTGCAGGGCTGGCTGCCACAGAGGTGGCTGGACTAAGAGGTGTGGCTGACAGAATGTAAAAGACTCTAGTGTGTGTCCCCAGAAGGTAACATCCCTGCCTGAATATATGTTGAAAAGAGATGCTTTCAATATACCAAATTATATAGACTTCAAGCACGAAGTGTTTACCAATCTCTCCGATGGCCTCAGCACCACATTGAGTGCTATGGGAACAGCCCCGAAGTGGATGACTCAGCTCTGTCCGAGTGGGCTGGCCTCCACTGCCGCACCAGGTGCAACGCACGTGGCATCATTAGGTAGCACAGGGCAGCACTGAGGTTCGTCTTTGGTGAGTGCAGTGCAGTGAATCAGAAGGAGAGAGGCAGGAGGATCACAAAGGGTCAGATGTGCTCAGATAGGGTGCATGAGGGGGTTGGGAAGAAGAGGTTATTATAGGATGAGAAAAAACACAAAGGTTGGAATGAGAAATGTTTATATGACAGACAGAGTAGGCGGGCCTGGCTAGAGCAAAGGGCACTCTGATGAAGGAGGGTAACTACGGGACACTGGGCTACCTCCCACTGGCAGTGGGATCTAGCTGTGTGGGATTCAATTTTATCTTCTAAATAATGAAGAAGAAAAAAAAAAAAGCAAAAGCCTTCCCTGATCTATAGCAGATAATATTCCAAAATAGCAGTGCTGTAAATATGAGTAGGATAAAGAGGAGAAACAAACCACATTTTTTCTCCAGAGCAATTAGTGTAATGAACAGAGGCGATGATAGCTTCCTGGCCTACTCACATCACATCTCCCATTCAACGATGGGAAGACTCCGAAAAAGCGCTAATTTCCATGTCTTCCGGAAGCATTGCAGCTCTGAGGTGAAAATCGGTGGCAGAGAGCCTTTCAGAAGCCTTCAGGAAAATGATCCTCCCCCGTTACCCAGTCCTGGGTGTGCTTCAGATTTATGAAGCAGGGGAATGTAATGGTTAAAAGAGGCTCTCTGCCACCTAACAGCAGGTGGCATAGCCTCCCTTAGCCTCAGTTTCCTTCTGTGTAAAATGGAAAAGGTGGCATTTGTTTCATAGAGTCACTGTATTGAGATAGGTTTGTGCAGTGCTTGGCATGGAGTATGGTGTGTTGTCAGCACTCATTCCTGGGAGCTGAGAGTGTGTAGGAAGGGAATGGGGCAGCAAAGAGAAGAGCAACAGAGAGCTCAGAATCACATGCTGCAGAGCACTGTCCTGTAGGAATGTCCCCTGACCCAGCTACGAGCAGGACACCAGAGCTCTGCTTCTGCCGGCCTTTGTACGCCTTTCCATGATTCAATTTGTCATTTTGAATTGGAATTTGTTATTGAATTATACCTCTCACTTGAATGTGAGTCCCTTGAAAAAACCAAATATATTTTCCTTCTCTTTGAATCCCCAGGGCAGCAAAGGTCCCGGCACTTAGTAAGTTCTCAAAAAGTCTCTGCTGAACGAATAAATAAATGAAGAAAAGAAAGAATAGGCTTGAAAGGAATATAGTATTTCTAATCATTTGAAATTCAAGAAAGATATAACAACTTGAATTATGTTGCATGAAATCATTGAAGACATTTTAGAGATTTAAAACTCAATGTGTGGGTTATAGTGAGGGTCAAATTAATAATTTTTTTGTGTGTGCACTGCAGGAATCAGGGTCTCAGCAAGAAAGGGTGAGACCCTGATTTATTGTGAAGGTTTAATGAAAAAACTGTTTACAAAGGTCTGAGCAGAGTGAAGGGAACCAAGCAGGATGCTGAAGACCTAGTTTCTAACCCAGTGCAGGAACCTGCCATTACTACACTGGGTCTGAAGGGTCAAGGGCAGGGAACAGTTCAAGGAACCTCATGACAGTTGTACCTATGGGACAAGGAGCATCTGACAGGACAGGAGAACAGTAACTACTACCAAACGGAAGCCTGACAGGGAAGGAACTGAGAGAATAAATAGCCTGTCCTGTCTTCTCCTGCCCTCTGCCCTCTTCTCATTAGCTGAACACAGCCAGAAGTCAGTGGGCAAGGAGTCCCCAGAAGTGAGCTCGCAGAGCACAGAACAGGTGGAGAGCTATGGTCAGTCAGTCTGGAGAGACAAGCAGAGAATAGTCAGCCTTCTATTGATCTTTGTACTTGTGCAGAGGATCCAACGAAAACTAGGAGATAATGATTCTTTGCTTATGGTCACAGAGTTTAGAGTCTAGTGGGAGAAACCAACAGGCAGTCAAAAAGTTTTAATAGAGTATGATGCATGTCATGATATGAGGATGTATTTGAAACATGACAAGTACTTAGAGGGGCCATGTATTAAGGCTTGGGGCTCAAAAAAGGCTACCAAGAAAAAGAGGCATCCAAACTGATATCTTGAATATACAGTTAAGAGAATTAGAAGAAAATCCACCAGCTGGGATAAAACATCTACAAATCATTTATCTGATGAAGAACTTATATCTAGAATATATAATGAACTCTCTGACCCAATAGAAAGAAAACAAATGACAAATAGAATATTTGAACAGGCACTTTACCAGAAAAAGTATATAGATGGCAAATAAATATATGAAATTATTTTCAAGACCATTAAGCTTTAGGGAAATGGAGATTTAAACCACAATGATATACTACTATCCACTTATTATAATGGTAAAAATGAAAAAGCCTGACTACACTAAGTGTAAGCAAGGATGAAGGATGAGGAGAAATTAAAACACTGTTGACAGGAATATAAAATGGTACAACCAGTTTGAAAAAACAGTTTGGCAGTCTTTAAGAAAACTAAAAAAAAACATATAACTACTTTGTTTGCTATAGCTGCTATAATAAAGTACAATAACTAAGTGGCTTAAAACAACAGAAATTTATTCTCTCACAGATGTGTAGGTCATAAGTTCAAATTCAAGGTATCAGCAGGATTGATTCCTTTTTGAGACTCTGAGGGAGAACATGTTCTATGCCTTTCTCCTAATTTCTGATGGTTGCTAGCAATCTTTGGCACTACTTGGCTCATAGCTACATCACCACAATATCTATCTCCATTGTCACATGGCCTTCTTCTCTGTATATCTCTCTGTGTTTTCACATGGCTTTCTTATAAAGGACATTAGTCATTGGATTTAGGGCCCACCCTAACCCAGAATGACTTCATTATAACTATACTTCAAAGACCTTATTTCCAAAAATACCACATTCTGA